TAAAATGGTAACAGCAAAATTTCGAACAGATTTATCTGGAAAATGCAAAAAATCTATGGGCCTTGAAGAGCCTTGACTCAAAATTGCAAGGCCCTGAACCCTCAAGGCCAAGGCCAAGGCTTTTGCCCTCAAGCCTCGAGGCCAAGGCCAAGGCCCTAAAATCCAGCCTTAACCCTAACTCCCTAGGCCTTTTTGCTAGGATGTAGCCTCAATCCTGCAAAATCCTCCAATTGGCCTCATTGAAAAATAGCATATAGCCTCAATCCAGCAAATTCCTCCGTAATTTCTTGAATATGGTCCATGGAGCGGTGACCACTGCCTGAATCCTGCAAAATCCTCCGGCTATGACTGTCAATAGGCTGAGGCAGATGCAGTGACATCCTTTTTAGTCGACATCGTAATGTTTATAAAAGAAGACATTTTGCCTGGGAAAATGCACCGTACGTGTATCCCCACGACCAAACCTAAATTTGCATACATGTACAATATAATACCCGTATACATATGAATTTCGTGAATTTTAGTAATGCCAGGTTAAAGATCTGGAGTTCAACAACAGACCCAGAAAAATCACACCCCAATTTCCCAATTTTCACTTCCTCTTCCAAACTCGATACCGTTGGATAAACTCATAACAATCTAAACCTGCATTTTTTTTATTGCACTCGTTTTTCATGACTTAACCCGAACTCCCTAGGGGGTGTGCACAATCGTATTGAAATTGGAGGATTCAGGACTGTGCAAAAGAGGTTGTGACCGGATCAGGGAAATTTAGCTCTGTGATTATGAAAGCGCTTGGAACTAGGCCATGGTGAACATAACAGGGAATTGCGGACCACAATAGATATTCAGTATACATGTACATGTATCAGCATTCAGTGCTTGGTGTATAAAATTGGAAGCCATAGGGATGCTCGTTAAAACTTTTGAAAGTACTTCTTATGGAGTCAATGTACAAACAGCAGATAACACTGCTTGAACACTTCCGAGAGCCCAGCAGATGGAACAAAGAAGTGTGTGCGAGTGCGGTACTTTCTGCCATACTTGCGTGAACCAGTGTGTCGCTTTGCTGGTACCGGTGCATGTACCTACATGTACCCTTAAACAGGGCGCTGGAAAGGGCTAATTTCTTCTGGATGCATGACATACATGTAGGCCTAACTTCTTTGAGCATATGTAGCACGATATGAAACGGAGGGAACCCCCTCCTTTGTGTTGGTCATTGTGTTTCCAGAATCTCAGGAATTCTTTTGAGATGGGGAATGCGTTAGGTAACAAATAGTTCAAGGTGTGTATTTGGTGTAGGGAGATTTGGGGGGGGGGGGTACCCCTCTGTCTTACATGTATATCACCCAAATTTTTTTCATGGTTTCCTGGAGTGTTCCTCTTCATTTCATGACGATAAACCTAACCCAAAAATTCCTCTAGTCTCACATGTCTAAACCTGTATTCTAGACATGCCAGAGGGGGGACCTACATTTGTACAGTGTGGACGTGTGCAAGTCCACAAAGTGTTCACGCTTCCTGCATCCTGTGGACCTCTTTTGTTCACAGGTCTACAAAGAGTTTAGGTTAGAGCGTGCTGGTTGAACACATATGGCTCAAATTATGTGCTGAAATGATTAGTTTTCATCTGAGTATATGCTCAAACAAGTAGCTTCTTTTTAGTGAGTGTCGGGTGTATGAAGGCAGTGCATTCAAGAATCCTACCTAAATCTCTGTAACCATAAAGGAATACTTGTGCATGGATTCAGATATGAAAAGCTTTAAAACGAAAAATATTACATACATACCGATACAGGACAGACAATACATTTAATATTCAGCTTCCATGTTTTCAACATGGTCACACAGAGAGGGTTGCTATGGATACAAAATTGGAACCAGGGAATTCCATGAATCATTTTTTTATGGTTTGTCTGTTTTCTTTGCCTGTTCTTTGCTCTGTGTTTCGTGTTCCAGGAAGTAATACTGTTGTAATTCCATGAGACCAATTTAACAGTGGGTGCTTTCCTTTTCATGCTGCATTCAAGCATATTAGGGATTTACCGTACCCGCAAAAAAATTGGCTATTGTTTGCACGGCATACATCAGCACATTTTATGAAAGTTGGGGTATACATGTACTTGTTTATTTACTATACCTCATACATATTCATGACCGAAAGCCAAATTCTCATCGGTCCATTCACGATCACGCCAGATGCTATATTTGCTGTTTACCAAGCGCACGCGCGAGTATTCACGCACAGGCTTAATACGCATGCTTAGTGACCCGTGCGACAGTCTACTACGCATGCGCTTTACGAAGCAATCGTGGAACTGTCGCATGTGCGAACATCGCCCTACAGCCACACATCGCCCTACAGCCACACATGAAATGATGGTTGCACACGTAAATGATAATTAGTGTTTTCCCGAGCTCAATGATGCCGAATTGGAGAATATTGTGGACAATAAAGATGCCTCCTGTACTAAAAGAAAGTTGTCCATAAACAATTTTATTACAACCGTAGTTACTGTATTGCAAACAAACTGAACTTTTCGGAGGTTCAGCAGTGTTATCTTCTGGTGAGCTGGACAAGTTACTCCGGAGATTTGTTAGTCCACTGGGTGCATACTGTGGGAAAATTCGGCAACTGAATATGTATGAGGTATAGTAAAACAAATATAACATGGTTTATTTTGGGTGGATAGTCGAAATCAGCTCCCCTCAGTATTGGAAGTTGACAAACTAGTTCCCTCAGCTTCGCCTCGGGAACTAGTTTGTCAACTTCCAATACCTCGGGGAGCGAATATCGACTGTTATTGGTCTGTACTTTGCGTCTTTCAACCAACATTTCCAGAGATATTATAGCAATGTGTGAAAAGCATTATGACAGCCTCGCATCACAAAATCTGGCATTATTTTTTATCCTCAAAGTTAATCTCAAAGACTTGAAACCCTTGGCTTAGCAAACATGTGGCCTCGTTGCCTTAGTGACGACTTCCATTGTGCAGTGTTTACAAATACGGAGCTCTCTAATGATTCACTTTACATACCCGGTACACATCTTATTTAGAACATGTACATGTACAAAAGGCCAAGTAAAAAAAAAATGATAATTTCTCGTCCGGACTTTTTGGAAAAATGAAGTAGGCGGGTGCTATTTTATTTCCCAAGATGGCAGACTTTCCAACTGTGGATATATTCTATTATATAACTGACATACCGGTACAGATCCTAGTCATTTAATTGGTGGAACTCACATCACGTGACATTCGTTATTGCTCCCATTCACGCCACGGCTCAAAAAGTACTATCCGCCCATGGGGAATGGGAAATACTATTCAACAGTTAGGATCATGACGCGGTATTTGTGTGCAAATGCATGCTGGTGAGCGCGTTCAGCGTTGCGCGTAGCGCGTACTGGGTATTGTTCCAAAGAGCCAGCGCTACAGCATTGGGTTCAAACATTTTCGTGAAGGGGTGGTTGGAAGAGAGAGATACATTTTCCTCCAGTTTTGTATTGAAAAAAAAGTTCAAATATATCAAATGACAAGGATCTATATGTCAGTTATATAAAACAAATATTGAGTGGCTTTAAATTGTGAAATGGGAGGAATATTATCGCTCGGTAAAATCTGGACTTTTCCAGTTCACTCGGCTTCGCCTCGTGAAATGGAAAAGTCCAGATTTTACCTTGCGATAATATTCCTCCCATTCCACGCTGAGCCACTCAATATTTGTATACCATTTTCTCAACTATTTTGCTGATATACAAAATTGTGTCCAAAGGAGCCGTAAATTACCTTTCTACATGTACATTGCTGCAATTTTGTTGGAAACAAATAAAAACAATATATTGACAATATATTTGCATAATATATTGTGAACAAAAATTAATAAAAGGATGCGGGCAGGAAAAAGGGAGCAGGTTGGGACGTGAAACTACATGTAGTTTATTTTTTTACTTGGCCTAATAGGGTTTGTAACAGCACATGTAACATATGTATACATGGAACAAGTAATCTTTTTTTTAATTATTCAATGGATGTGAAAAAAATCTCCAAGTCATCTGAATATTTTAACTGATAAAATGAAAAATTCATTCAGATTGCTTATTTTCAAATAAACCACAAAAGGAAACTAACTAGGTGCTTTATAGTCATTTTTAAAGTTGAACAATGAAAATTGACTGGAGCGGGGTTTGAACCTGCGACCTCTGGATTGCCGTTCCGGTGCTCCACCAACTGTGCTATCCAGCCCTATGTCGGTGGCTCCCCATTTTGGCAATTTGGCCCCTTTGTTCAAGGGGCGCTAGTCAAATCTCTCTTACTTTTTTTTTTTTGTTTTTTGGCAAGTCATTTCGCTCCCAATTTGAACTTTGGACTTTTGCTCTTTGTCTTTAAAATCCAGTACCTATCTACTGTAATTACCCGGTACATGTATCATGTTGGCATAGTTTACAGTAGGCCCTACATTGATAATTTCCCAAATTAGCATAATTTGTACCAATGTACATGTAATGTTTTGATGCTAATACTGATACAGTATCAGCTTATAATGGATTACATTCAACAATTGACATCCTAATAATTTTTTAAGTGTATTTTCTGAGAAAAATGTGCTTGTAATGTGAAAGTTTGGTTGTTTGACTACTTTGGCAGGATGTTTTGTACCCCTAAGACCAAAAAAAATACTTCTGCTTCCGGTTTCCCTACCTACCCTATGCTGACAGCCCCTACCCTAATTTTTTTATGGGAAAAAGGAGGGAAAACACCCAAAACCATCAATTTCTACCTTGATCCCTTGACTACACGCAGATGCCTCCATACGATGGTACACACACAAAAATCGGCAAAAAAGGAGGATGTTTGTTGTCATTTGGTTAATTCCACTATACATGTAGGCAATTTACGTGTGTATCGTCTGCGTAGCAGTCGTGTTTGAGGGCAATGCTTTTCATCCAGAAATAGGATTACTCACTGAAGGATTTTCGGGGTTTTTTTTCTTTGCAGTTAAAATTCGTGAGATAAAAGAGATTCGTCCCGGTAAGAACTCACGAGACTTCGAGAGGTGGCCAGATGAAGCCAAGAAGTATGATACCTCGCTCTGTCTTGTCATATGCTACGGTGCTGAGTTCAGACTCAAGAGCTTGTCCGTCGTTGGTAAGAAATAAAATCTCAATTTTCCATTATAAACTTTACCAATTGTGATTATTGAAATTATTATAAGCAACGTGTACTCGGTGCTCTGTGAGAGGTTTTGGAGAAAAAAAAATTCTCAAGGTTCCACGGGTGGGTCTGGAACCCATATCATCCTGCTTACCAGTGCAAATGTCTGACCACTCGACCACCGAGCTTGGTTGGGTCAGCTGGCCAGTTAAAATGTGATATAGCCATGAGTACCCTCAATCCAGAACTCTCAATGTTGGCATCAAAAATCACGAAAACAGTGTTATCTCAATTGTATCTCAAAAAAATCTGCACTTTTTTTCTTTTCATTTTAGCCGGCAATGCAGATGAACGACACAAGTGGATCGTCGGCCTCAACTGGCTAGTAGAAGACCACAAAATCTCAAGTTACCCAAGCAGACTAGAATGGTAAGTTTGTTGGCAAGTCTTATGCACCAATAGATCTGAGCTATGTAGGGCGAGTCAAAAAATAGGAACCCAAATGTCAGGACCATTGTTTCAATGAAGTTCTGCATGTAGTACTTTCAAACTCTAGGACATGAAAGCCCAATTCATAAGCTTTCTTTTAGTACAAAAAAGGTAAGTGTCCTTTCAGCAAAATGAAAACAATTCACTTACATCTCTATGTGAATTGTTTTCGTTTTGCTGAAAGAAGACACACCTTTTTTGTGATCCGTGGACAGAACTTTAAAACGGTGTTTGTGTTTAAAATTCTGTAACTTGGAAAGTACATGAGTGATTTGAATGATTCTTGTACTAAAAGAAAGCTTATGAATTGGGCTTTCATATCCTAGATTTTGAAAGTGCTAACATGGCTAAATACAGAACTTCATTAAAAAAAATGGTCCTGACATTTGGGTTTCGTGTTTTTCTTTTTTACTCACCCTGTAGTAGTAAACATGTCCGACTATTTTGATATTTGGGCCGTTTCAGATTGTTGTATTTTGTGACTATGGTTTCGATGTTCAGCCATTGGAATACTACAGTGAATAGCCATATCCATTGATAACAACTCCAATACTTATGCCCACAGTTTTTTGGGTAATGTTTGGAGCACATTGCTTCTATCATGAAATAGGGCTATCCACTGTTTTGCTAAACACTTGTCTGTGTTGAAATTGTATTTTATTTGTTTAATTTTTAAAATTTCTTAAAAGGAATATCGTTTACAAAGTTACAAAGAAATCATAAACCTATTAGATGCAACAATGTCCTGAATCCCCTTTCCACAAAAAGAATTCTTTAAATAAAAAAAGTCTTTCTTTTGGCATGTAGCCTCAATAATAATAGCTGGGTTTTCCCCTTTCGTAACCCTACAAAAAAAATTCCAAAAACTCCTAGTGGATTTGGAAGAATCTGGCATGTTAGGCTTAAATGCAAAAACAATACCCTGGGAATCCCATACAAAGTTTCCTCACTGTATTTTGTTTATAAGAAGAGAAAGAGAAATTATTTTCAAAGATCTTGGTCAGAGGTAAACCAATATTTATGTATTACTTTTCAGAGAAACTGAAACGAAATGAAAGTATTGATATTTGGCACATCATCTATAAGCAGTATTTATATACAACATCATGATCTGAAAAAAAAAATTCCGGAAAAGAAATTATTCGGTCAGTGGCTGACCCACACGCACAGGGCTTGGTACTTTGGGATAGTTCCAATAAAACCATAGACCAACTGAGCTAGTTGGGTTGTGTGCCTGTCTGTCAGCTTCCTGAAAAAAAAGAGAGAGGATATTTTGTGGTTTTTAATGATTTGGTTTGATGCCTACCGTAGCTGTAGTTACATTTGAAGATAAATTCAAAGAAATGGAAGAAAACACTGAAATTACACCCAACGACAGGTTCACATTCACACTTGGAACATAATGGTGTGACTTGAAATACATCCAGGGCCCAATTTCACGGCGCTGCTAAGCACAAAAACTTGCTTAGCACAAAAAAAAGTCTGGCTTATAAAAACTACAGCTTAATACTAATCACGAGCAATATACATCACGTGGAGTTTTGGCTGGTAACCTGCTTTTACATGTATAAGCCAGACTATTTTTGTAGTAAGCAAATTTTTATGCTTAGCAGTGCCGTGAAGTTGGGCCCAGATCATAGTGGTTTCATGTTTGAGAGCTGAAATTTGGATTTAAAAAAAATGTAATACACCGTCAAAGTTAAAAGCATTGTTGTCTACATCATTGTAAAGTAATTTTGAAAGATTTTCTAAGTTAGTGAATGGCCAGGCAATGAAGAGTGATTAGTCCCAAATCAATCTCGACCAGCAAGTTGTCTCCCTTAAAAAAATAAAATATGTAAGAATATTTATTGCTGTACAGGGTGTCCCAAAGAAAGTTGTGCAAGCAGATATCCTTTAAAATTTCTCAAAAACTACTTCGCATGAGTATTTCATCTTGATGGAGCATATTAAATACTCTTGTGCATTCATAGTCAGTAAAAATGCCATGGAAATCCGTTCATGCAAACCAGAGATCTAACAGATTTATAAAAAAGTTTTTCACCCATTCCAATGGGGATGGGATTTACACAGTTAACTTAATTTACATCAGAGTGAAAAGGCCCATGACAATCTGATGCGATGATACACTAACTGTGTAAATCCCATTGGAATATGGGTGAAAAACTCATAGCCTATTTATAATCCGTTAGATCTCTGGTTTGCATGAACGGATTTCCATGGCATTTTCACTGACACACAAGAGTATTTATAATGTGCTTGCACAACTTTTGGGGGGGGGGGGGGGCAGGGTGACCGTAAGGTCAGAGCCAAATTCTGCTAAATGCACATCAAAAATCTGTCAAATTCCCCAGAATTACTCGAAATACACTATAAACACGTAAAATCATATGCAGATTGGTAGTATTGCCTTTTAAAATTAAGATTCAAATTACATAATAAACAATCTAGTCACATAAAGATGTTGTGAGAGTATTGGAAAATTTCGGGCAAAACGCGGATCCGGCCACGAACCTCAGAACCTAGACCAGCCAACCTGTCCCATAATGCAAGGGTTTGTTTGAAAGGATTGAATTTTTTTTTAAATAAAGGTACACTTTTTTGTTCAAATTTGCTGTTTTTCTGTCAAATAACCATTTTTGCAGAATTCTGCCAGAAATCTGCCAAAAAAAATCCATTCTGTCCAATTTTCTGTCAAACTCATTTTTTAACAAAAATTCTGTCAAAGTTAGCCGAAAATCAGCTAAAACGGTCACCCTGGGGGATACCCTGTAGGCCCCCCTATTATTTTGTAATTAAAAAAACCCTCAGTCATGTCAGTGATTACTGATTTATACATGTATAATGTGTGTGGATAGGTCTCGCATGCTGAGTCATTCTGCGTCACTTGAAACCATTTGAGCCAGAATACCCTGGGAACTATTGATAGAAAAGGGTAACCTAGACTTGGCAGTGTTTGGTGTTCTCTGAATTTGTGGCGTGTTTTTTTGTGGGGATTTCCCGAGTGAATTATGTTTCTATAGAGGCATTGTTGTGGAATCATTCATGCAATAAATAAGTTCACAGTGGTTTGGTGCGACTGGCACGACTAGTGATGTAGACATTTGTCGATGTAGACCTTTGGCGGTTGCGGATAATCACCCACTCAAAAGATCATTGTGAACTTATGATGATCTTTAACCCTCACCCAGTTAGATGCTGCATGTACCCTACACATTGCATCAGATGTAATAGTCTGTGGGACCTTTTTTGTTGCATTGTGAGCCATCAATAAATGGCTAATTCTGAAACAATGAGATTGACATGTAGTCCCATTGAACAATGCTAAAGTTGTACCGGTACCATGCTGCAGTTGGTGACCACATACTCTGAGGCAGTTTGGATTTTGCAACACTGTACATGTACATGTACATGTAGGCTTCTCAATTTGACAATTTTGCATGTTGTTGCATTCAGGAGAATATCATACATGTATGTCGATAGCCAAAATAATTTGAAGGCTAAAGTTAAAGGGAATATATACAACATTTGCAAACATCGAAAATCAAAACTACCAAATGTTTATGAAATACCTTACTATAGGATGTTGAAAAATGACAGTCTGTTTGCATCCTGTAAAATTATGGCACCTGGTGTGAAGTCATTTTATAGAAAAGTGGTCTCTTTGTATACATTTCCTATTTTTTCAACTACTGCTCCAAATTTACCTTTTTTTTTCAGCCCAAATTTTGTTTGCCATTGGTTACATGTTCATGAACGGGTGCAGGTCAGCTAGACTGGTTCCCTTACCTTACAATTTTCCAGCATCTATAAATTGATCCATTTCATCTTTAGTGGAGTCAGGGAACCAGACTACTTGAACATTTGTGTTTTTCTTGGTTTTTTTTCAGCATTTTCGAACACAAAACTTCAAACATGTCAGTGTAACAATCTTTGATCTATGATGCTAACCCTCAAATAGTCCATTTCTGAAAATTACAGCAAAAGCCAATGATGTACATTCCCTTTGACGTGAAGTTTCTCTGCATTTTTGTTTGCAACCATATCCTACATCCTTCGTCTCACCACCCATCATCATGCAGAATCCTTATGGAACATTTGATCTTTGTAGTCTTTGATGTGGCATGAAGCCTGATTTTTGAGAAATATTGGCAATTGGGATCTACATGTACCTTCCTCAATCATGTCAATCCTGCCAAATCCTCGAAAAACTGCACACTGGTTTTGAAATATACAGTGCAAGGGTTAGGGTAGGCAAAAAAAAAAACACTGATAAATATGATGATTCATCTGGATACCTGATCACCACAAGCTCTGTAGTTTCATGGTACATCACTACATGTACTTGAACATGTTGAAATGTTTTTACAGGAACGTCTATGGTATGAACCTGCATTGTACATGTATAATGTACATGATGTACATTGTACCTGTACATGTGTACATGTTTACCCTAAAGTATACAATGTATGTATGTATACATGAGCCCCATGTAATGTACTTCACTGTATGAGGTACCGGTACATGCACATGTACATGCACATACATGTAATTCACATGTAACAGACAAGTACTCGAGATGTTTTCATATCTATGCAGACAAGCATCTTTCCGTGCAACATCCGTGACGCTTTGCTGTTCAGAAATACCACACAGGGAAACTCTAACTGTGAAAAATATTGCCTTTTCGCCTCGTTTTTTTGAGATCCGGTCAAATGGTTGTGTAAGACTTCCTGATTGAAAACTACAGATATAACTGAAGACCACAAAGCATGGCACAAAGTATCTCAAGGATGAAAGCACAGGCGGAAGTCATTTCGTATTATTGCCGTTTGAGAAAAAAAAAAACACTAGGGGAATTGAATGTTTGCTTTTGCCTTTTGCGAGCGGAAAACGCACCGCTCTGCGCCGCTACAATTCGGCCACTGGAGACTCACCGC